CCCAACGTACACCCCTAAGAATGGTTCTGTGTATGTGAAAGAGTGGGTGATCATTGTGGCTAAATATTTTTTAAAGTTTTGCTGTACCAAGAAACTGAAATTGCTTTGGCCAGGATAAATACTTCCTGAATATTGTATTTCTTTGCAATAAGAAAAGGACAGAGATTGTTCTTATGTCTCTGCTAAAACATTCCATTGTTAAAACTTGCACTTTGAAGGTAAACTTTCAATCCTCCAGATGTCAAAGGACTTGTGCTACTACTTTTTTTTTTTTTTAATTCTTGGTAGCAACTGAAAGTTCAGACAAGGCCCACAGAAAAAGGTGTTCCATGCATTTGCCATGAATTTGCATCTCAGCCGGTTCCAAGAATATTTTTTTTTGCATCCACTTTCATCATATCATTGCCATCACTTTTCTTCATTCCTCAACTACTATTCACATTCCTTTAATGGTTTCTGTAAACATTTTTAAAACCGTTGGGATGTCACTTAGCATTTTCTTTGATTTAGTGTCAGGGAAGCAAGCCATGCTCAATATTTAACAATCACTTGTATGTGTATGTGTGTGGAAGAGTGTGTTTAATTTCTCATGTATTGGTACAAGCAGATTCAGCATAAACTCACAAACACAGATTTGAAAATAATACACACACAGTGTTCAAATTTGAACCTTTCTCATGGATTTTGTGGTGTGGGCCAATATGGTGTTTACATTATATAATTCCTGCTATGCAAATAAAGCACATTTTTTTCCTAAAATGTTTTTTCCCCATGTCTTCTATTATGGATTCTAGTTTTGTTAATTATGATTTTTTTCTTTCTCTTTTTTTAGAATGTAGCAGTAGTGCTATTACTGAAATGAATGATTTCCTTTTTCAACTGATGGTTGAATGATAGAATAGTACTGTAAACAGGCTTTAGTCATCGATGTGAGAGAATCAGAAGAAATGCTTAGAGTGGACTATTAAGTGTGCCTAAACGAATTTTGCAGAAACTGGTATTCTTGATTATTGTCTTATTTAATACACATTAATTCAGAACTTGTATTCTCTTATGAGGTTGAAAGTCTTTTGGAGTGACCAGCAACTTTGATGTTTGCACTAAGATTTTGTTTGCAATGCAAGAGATGTTGAAAGAGGTTCAGTAGTGCACATGTAACTAATTTATTTGAACTATATGCTGAAGACATCTACCAGTTTCTTCAAATGCCTTTTTAAACTCATCACAGATGATTGGTGAAAATGCTGAATATCATACTTTTCTTCTTGCATATCAGCTACATAAAGTTTTGTACAATAAAAATACTAATTTGTTGGACATTCCATGTTAAACAACTGTCATGTTTAGCTTCATTGCATYGATCTGGTTCATCAGATCTTGTGTTCTGGAGAGTGTTCTTTATTCAGTAAAGTTTTAATTTAGTATAAAGACAGCCAATATATTCAGTACTATCAAAGACTTCTCTTGGTTATGAGAATTTGGGCAAAGGGGCTGGGGATGTGGCCTAAGGGTAGAACACTTGCCTTGCTTGCACCAGGCCCTGAGTTGGATCCCCAGCACTACAAAAAAAAAAAAAAAATCACAATTGGGGTTAAACAAAATTCACATTCTCTGGAATCTTTAAAAGAACAGCATTCCTCCATCAGCTATGATCAGTACAACATTAATTGTGAACATTTTTGGATATTTACCTGAGAGGATAAATTATATAAGAACTTAACTTGGAATGCAACTTTTTTGTTGGGAGGTAAGGGCAATGCTAAGGATGGAAACCAAGACTACATTCTAAGCATGGACTCTACCACTGAGTTATACTACCAGGTGGACACAAATTTAATGAATGTGTAATAGTATTTAAAATAGGGTAGTCATATGTAATAATAAAGCACAAAAACTTTAGGATGCTGAAATTTTAAAGTTATATAGCAATCAAAAAGAAGTTCAGTTTGAGTGTAATTCAAGCCAGCAGCAAAATAATAAAATAGACACTGGAAATTTTATTACAAGATTTTGTGAGAGTATAGAAAGTAAGATTTAAAAAAATATCCAAGAAAAAGTCATTGAAAAGTAGCAGAGTAATTCTGGGCAATTGATAATATAGTTTTACTAAGTTGTTAACATTCATTACCTGCCATAAAACAAATTTGTGATTTAATAATTCAATGGAGCACATATATTTTAAGAATTTGTTTTTTTCTTTCTTTGCAGTATGGGGGATAGAACCCAGAGGCACTCTACTACCAAGCTACATCTGCAGCCCTTTTTATTTTTCATTTTGAGATAGGATCTCACTAAGTTGCTGAGGCTGGCCTTGAATTTTTGATCCTTCTGTCCTTCCAAGTCACTGGGATTACAGACATGTGCAACCTCACATGGCTAAATTTAGTAATTTCAAAGTAACCCTGCTCAGTTCAGTTGTTTCTTTACTATGCTTAGATGAGCAAAGTTTATGTGACTTTTCTAAATTCAGAGAATTAACTCATGACCAGTATCCCAGTCTATTATTTGATAAAGGTAATATCAACATTTTTTTACTCTCATTTGACCAGTGAGAGCTCTGTGTGTGTGTGTGTGTGTGTGTGTGTGTGTGTGTGTATGTGCATTTACCATGGGGAATGGTGGATTAAATGTATGTATGTTTCCTATACTGACGCTACCTAAGATGTGGTTGAACAATGATAGGCTGCTGAGTGATACAGTGGTAGGGTAGAGGCATGAAATGCATCATGAGGAGAAGGGAGCAAATTCATCTTTCAGAAATAGGTCATCCTCAAGATTTCCCAACTGTAGGCTTTTCACTATTTAAAAAAGTACATGCATATGTATATGTGTGCATATTAAGGATACTCATGTATGTATATATGTGTATAAAAATACCTATTAAAAATGTATACATATGCCTGTAATCCCAGCAGCTCAGAAGGCTGAGACAGGATGATTGCAATTTCAAAGCCAGCCTCAGCAACACAGCAAGGCCCTGTCTAAAAACTAAAAGGGCTGAATGTGGCTCAGTGATTAACCCATGGGTTCAATTCCTGGTACCAAAAAACAAACAAAAATATGTTTGTGTGTTTGTGCATACAGTTTAGTGGTAGAGTCTAAAATGCCCTGGTTTCAATCTCCAGCACCACACACACACACACACACACACACACACACACACAAATTATATATATATAAAATATTATTATATTAAAGGTATATGTATTATTACATATGTAAATTATATATTATATAAATTACGTGTATGATAATACATATATGTTTAGCATGTGTTCAGAATTTTTATACATGTTCAATCACAGTTCCTATAAGAATCATACAATGTGAATCTTTCCAAAAGCTATAAAAGTTATGTTCAATTCTTCACTTTGCTTATCTTAATTGGCTGGCTACTTTTACCAACTAAATATTAAATTAAACTGTCTGTATTTTTAAATTATGGGAAAGTTAAACAGTTTCAGTCTAAAAATACTTATTAAACATTTTTTGCATAAGATTTAATGTTTTAAAAGTTGGATATTTTGAATCTTCTGAAGACTAGAATAGAAGGACTTCCTGTGATGATGAGTGTTTTATGCTATTTTTTAAATATAGAAGCCACTAACCACAGGTGGCTATGAAATTGTAAAGAAATAAATTGCATTTTCTTTCACTTTAATTTAAATGCCCACATTTGGCTAGTGGATACTGAATTGGACAGCATAGTGTTAGCGTCTAGTGAAATATTTTTTGTAACGTTGGGTGGAAATGGAGGACAGGATGTCAGGATATTTATGTTGGAAAATAAAAGAAAAAAAAACCCTGGAAACTTCAAAGTCCTGGAGGGAGACCCTAATTGTTATACAAAATTACATATAAGAGGTTGTGAGGGGAATGGGATAATAAACAAGGAGGGAAATGAATTACAGTAGATGGGGTAGAGAGAGAAGATGGGAGGGGAGGRGAGGGGGGATAGTAGRGGATAGGAAAGRTAGCAGAATACAACAGTYACTAATAKGGCAKTATGTAAAAATGTGGATGTGTAACYRATGTGATTCTGCAATCTGTATTTGGGGTAAAAATGGGAGTTCATAACCCACTTGATTCTAATGTATGAAATATGATATGTCAAGAGCTTTGTAATGTTGTGAACAACCAATAAAAAAAAAACAAAGTCCTTTTCAGTCTTATAATTATTTTTTTATTTAATTTTTTAATGTCTGGTATTGGGGAGTGAACCAAGGTTGCTGTACCACTGAGCCACATGCCCATCCTTCCTATTTTTTATTTTTTTTAAAAAATTATGTTTATATTTTATTGGTGCTGAGGATCGAACCATGTGCCTCACACATGCTAGGCGAGTGCTCTACCATTGAGCCATAACCCCAACATCCTACTTTTTATTTTAAGACAGTGTCTTCCTAAATCACTAAGGCTCAAGGCTGACCTGGAATTTTCCATCTTCCTGTCTCAGCCTCCCAAGGAGCTGGGATTACTGGCATGTACCACCAGATTAAACATATAATCTAACAGTGTTTCTTAGGAAATTCTTTTTTTTTTTTTTTTTGAAACGAGAGTTGAACCCAGGGCTTTGAAAATGCGAGGCAGATGCTTTGCCACTGAGCTACATCCCAGCCCAGGAAATTCTTATTTTAAACAATACCGCTGCCTTTATGTGAAATTCCTTTGTTTTTCAGTAGACAATCAACTGTCATATATTACCATTGTTTTCACTCAGAATTTTACACACAGATTTCTGCTTATTTTCAAAAAATGGCAGAATTGTTGAATTAATGTCTTTAGATGCTAGGAAGAAGTACAGTGCCTTTTGTTGTTGTTGTTTAGTGCATTCTCAAACTAGTCTCTGGAAATTTTGATCAAGCTTCTGAGACCAGAGGCTGCTCCTTTTGTGAAAATTCTGAACATTTCCACCTGCCAAGGTTGCTATGTCCCAGACCATACACTGCCTTTTCCAAAAATTCCAAACTTAGAATTCCAACATGCCAAAACATCTATGCTTTTTACTTAAAGGAAGGGCAAAATAATGAAGTTTGGGAGCTTATTAAAGTCTTAGAATTCTCTCTATAAACAACATAACAATAGAGTAGAAACATGTTTATAATTTTACAGGTCCACGATTCTTTTACCTTTCTTTTCTTGGTTGGGCAAATATAGCTAAGACCTTGAAATGTCAGAATTTGCAGCTAGCAATTTTCAGAACTCAAGAGGAGACATGGGATAAACACCCCAGAAACAGTTTCAAGAAGACCAGAAACATAACAGTATTATGTAGGAAAGAAGGCTAATTTGAAGCAAAATTTTTACATTTGTATTGTTTTCTTCAAAAGTGTTGAAATTTTAAGTTAAGATTATTTTTTCTATCCTCCAGATATTTCTTTAAAATGACCAAGTGCTTATTTGGGCTATGATACGTAGCATAATTTCAACGTCCACACTTTCCTATTGAATACAAAAACAGTCTTGGGAGGCACCCACTTGAGAAGGCAAACACTAGACTCAAGTCTTCTTTAATGCACTGAAACATCTGCTCTCATGCGCTATGGAACACGATGAATTTGTGCCAGTCCCTTGTCACTGGTTACTCTATGTACTGTTCATCAGAATCAGTAGGAACAGTAAAATAGTTTTTAGTAGCTTTGTTAGCAGAAACCATAGGATTATCTTATTTTAAAAGTAAATAGCAAGTCTTTTTAGATTGTTCTTTGTTTTGAAAAATTCAAGTCAGATTTATTTATTTGATACTGGGAATTGAATACGGCTCTTAACCACTGAGCCACATCCCCACTCATTTTTAATTTTTTTTTTTTTTTTGAGACAAGGTTTTGCTAAACTGCTGAGGCTGGCTTTGAATTTGCAATCCTCCTGCCTCAGCTTCACAACCCACTAGGATTAGGGTGTGTGTTTCAGATATACAGGGATATTAATTAATCCTGAACCTAGTTAATTAAAATTTAAACTACAAAACTTCCCCACAAAAATCTAAAGTAACCTTAAGCCCAAATCATCAAGGAATGGTTACAATTGAGGTTAACTCAAAGAACTTTAGGGGGTGAGAGTAAAATGTCAAAATGTGTCAAAACAGGATTTATGGTAAACTCCAGTGGAGTCACCATAAATCAGGCCCTGGATTCAATTCACATTACTGATTAAAAACAAAACAAAACAAAACAAAAAAACCAACTAACTCTAACAGAACTTTACCTGTTGCATTATATTCTGTATATTTGAAATATCTGATAATTTATACTTTTATAAATTAGAATTTTAAAAGGAAAAAAGCAGATACAATAAATTATAACATGAATTAAGTTATCTATTCTTGTTTAGAGCTTTCAATCCTATTTATTCCCTAATTTCTCTCACTCAATCTTTTTTTGATTAGCGAGAGCTTAGACATACTTTAGCT